AAAATAATTTTGGAGAGACAGATACTCATGAAAAATGTCTAGGTTGTAATTGAATATTTTCAGGATGTCTAAACAAACAAATTTGGTCAATGGTAAGATAGTTTTAATATTGGTGGATGATTTGGATTTTAAGTTAGCAATTATTTAGACAGCAAATATCTTCTTGATATTTGTATTTTTTTTATAAATAAAAATATGTGAAAGGCTTGAAAAAAAATAATACATTCTTTACTTAACCAGCCATTTTTAATAGCTGAAATAATGCGGTACTTTGGAATGTAAACTATTATATAAAGTTTTATGATTGTACTAGCAATTATACACAACAGAATAGTTTAATTTTAAACTTTTGGGTTAATGAATTGGCTTCTACTTTTCCATTTACAATGTTAATCAATTGCATTAAATCAAGTAATTGCTAAAATTCGACTACATTTTTTTTCTCTTTTTCTTATCAATGAATTTGGGATTAGCCATTGCAATAATTTCTTTGCAATGTCAATATAAAACTGCCAGAAAAATTATTAACTATTCATAGACCATTATATATTCTATTCAAATCACCTGAGTGCATCGCAATTCGAATATTTTGCACCAAACAATAATCAATGATAAATAAAACTCTTTCTCTCACTAAATATATATACGATATCTTAGATTAAACAATTTTAGTATAAACTCTACAATTTATAAATATATGTTGATAACAAACTACGATTGTATGTTAAATAGTAAATGTGATCCTTCAGGTTTGAAGGAAATGCACTTTAGAAATATATTGTACAAGTATTTAAAGAATCTAACAAAAGTCATAACAACTAATAAAATAACAGCAAAAAATATCCAAACATATTGTTGTACTATTTAACATTTTATTCACAATATTAAAATAAGTTTATATTGTTTCGTTTTTTAAATGTAATAAAGCAACTTTATTTTAAATATATAGTTGTGTACATGCATAGTAAATAATTATGTATTGATTTATATCACAGTAACAATTCTTAATACACCATTTATAAATGTTTCGATAAATTTCTTTAATAATGTTTAATTGAATACATTTCTACATTGATTTGAAAATTCTAAGTATTACATATCGGTTAAATTGGTTAGTATTAGAAATGTTATAAAATAAAAGTGGACTAGGTTATGATTCTATTTGTAGAATACACTGGAGTAGAGATTACCTAAGAATGAAGCTGATATTGGTGGGACCACGAGTTAGATCGCTCTTCCTCTCTGCTTTGACTCAATACGATTTTACTCTTATCATTGTCAATTTTAATCATTAGTAATTTTTAAATAAGTAGCTTTTTACTTTTTTGAATTTGAACTTAATGTGAACCAAAGCAATTTAATTCTTTTATTAAAAATAAGAGTACATATCTATATAATAGAGACATTTTACAACATTTTGTTTAACGCCCTATTGACATTTTAAAGTTACTGAAGCCTGCTTCATAACTTTTCTAATTGGTTTTTAATTTTTTTAAAATTAGATTTTATTATAAATATATATTTAGCTATATATACAATTGTAAATTTTCTATAATTGGTAGATTTTTTTTTATTGGTTTTTTACATAAATATTCATTACTAGCAGATCCTGCCTGCGAGTAACAACCTGTAAAAATAATCACAAGAAAGTGATGACCCTTTTTATGTGCACTTCACAATTTTTTTATATTTTTATTTTTAACTTTCACTATAGCAATTGAAGCTTGATTAATACGGAACAGAATCCCAATGTCAAAATAGCAGAATATTTCAACAAATTATAATTAACATTAACAAGGATTGTCACACAACATTGCCTACATTACTTTAGAATGTTGATTGAAACTAACTTTATTTATAATAAGAATTATGAGAAAATATATATTTTGAATTAAGAAAAATAAAAGCTAAATGAATTAAATAAACATGTTACATTTTATAACCTTGTACCAGGAAACATATTAAATTTATTCAAATAAATTTATTTAAATATACATATTAAATAAAGTCAAATATTTTATAACTTAATAGAAACTTTTTTAATCACTTTATTAACTCCAGTTAATGCTCATTTCTTGCCCATAAAAAACTATTGTAATAGTATTGGTGATCACAGTAAATTTATTTTGTTTTTATAAAATCACATAATTGTTTCATATCTATATACAATAATTAATTATAAAAATGTTACGTCAAACAGTGATGTAAATACTTTTATCTGTGAATGTAGTTTATGGTAGAAACAGAATAATTATAATTCAGTTGATATTGACATTGGCATCCTGTCCAGCTTGCATTCGACTAATCTTGAGGCAGTTCAAAGTTATTATATTTGTTTGTGAATTATATCATTCTTACATTTATTAAGTATGAAGTATTTTTTGGTAAATATACATATTGACACTCATTTCCCCTCGTTTATTTTAAAAATGTCTTCAGTTATATTAGCCTGTAATTTATTCCTCATTTTTTCAAATAAAAAATTCTTCAGTTATTTCTTGATATTTTAAATAATAAAATGTAAAGAAATAAAATCACAATAGCTTTCTTCTTTTACACTGTATTTTCATCTCCATATTTTATGTTTTGATGTATTATTATTTTAATGTTGTCCATCAGGTAAAAAAAAACAACTAATTATAACAATGTTTTGAAAATTACTACAGAGATTTTAATATTTATTTAGGAGGCATAAAATCTAATCTAACAGTCACTACTTTATTGATTTCACTACTGCAGCTGTAAATTTAAAAATTATGTAATTGACATAATGATTAAAAACAATACTTGGATTCTTATTTTATGATCTTATAAGTTGTTCTTAGTGGTTTGCATGTAAAACAAAAATATAATACTATTGATAACCATTTAAATATTAGTATAAAATTTATAACTGATTCCCCACTCCCCCAAAACAGATTACAAAGTTATGATGATTTTCTCTTTGTTGTTATTTATTCTATAAAAAAGGAAGTAATGGGCAAAAATATTAAGTTTATCAACAGATCTTGAGAAAAAAACTTCTGCTGATAACTTTGTAGAAAATATTTGTTCATATTGGTTTCAAATGGATACGTTTTTGTTTAAATACTTCTTCCTTTTTTTTTATAATACTTTATTCTTAAGTTACAAGAAGATTAATTATTACAATACAGGAGATTTTAAAATTGAACATAATTGATTCATTTTATTCTTTCTAATGTAATATATTTGTTTTTATTTCTATAATTTTTTGTATAGTTAGACAAATTTCAATTTTCATTTCGGTTTTGCTAACATAATAATTAATTCAGTAAATCTGTTCTGGACTAAACAAAATAAAAACACTACTTTTAAAAGTAATTAGCAATTACAGTTATTTTAAAACAAAAAGACAATTATTTTAGTTAGAGATTTAATATTAATAACTTCCCCATGCCTGTCATGTCATTATTTCCTGTATCGCCATCGCATTTACTGATTGTCAACAATAAGTTAACAGGCCCAAAAAAATTTTTATAGAAAACAAAATTTAATTAGCTTTTGAACTGTTTCATTTTTAATTAAACTTTAGCTGTTTCATTGCATGTATTAACAGAAGTTGTAACTTGTTTCTATGTTCATTTTATGTATCTTTATTGCTTAAAAATCCAGTCTATGATGATTAATTAATTTTGTGATGTATAAATCACTATTACAAAAGGAAATGGTAATAACCAATAATACATTTTGACAGGAAAATTGATATTCCTAATGCAAACCTTTACACCTCTGAGAAGAGCTTGTAAGATCATTAATGCCTTCAATCTGGCCAAAACAACTTTGAATAAAAGCCTACAGTTCTTATAGGAACAAATAACAAGCTATTGAATTAAATAATGTTAATGTGGATTAATCTAAAGATGATTGAAAACTGTTTAAAAATATTAAAATTTTCCACTTCTGGCTTTTCAGTTCTCAATCTATCGTATTGACAGATTTTTTTCGGAAGTCCCTGTTAATTGATAGAAGTTTGGAAAGTATTTAAAAAATTGTAGTCCTAATTTTATAGTAGCAATGAATTGACTTAATAACCTAACCAACATTTTTATATTAACAAAACCTTTTAAAGCAAAATATACATAAAACGTATGGTGAATGTGCTTTTTCTTCAAAATGTGTTTAAATGTTGATTTAACTAATTTAATTTAAGATTTTAAAAATATAAATATATCACAGTATCAAAACAAGAATATTTTAATGATGTTTATATAAAAAAGATATTAAAATTAGTGTAACGGTTTTCAGGAATATTTCATAAAAAAAACATGGAGTTTATACAACACTTATTTTAATTAGTTATAAGATAATAATGTTACTAAAATAGAGTAATTGAAATTCATATTATCAATAGATTGTGAAATCTCTTATATAAAAAATAAGTTGCTCCCAATTATTCATAATTACCACCCAAATATTATGTAAAAATATTCGATGAGAAAATTCTGAAGCGTATTAAACAGCCTCGTATTTCTTAAAACTATATCTATTCCAAAATATTATTGATACTGAATAATTTTTAATATGTGTTAAATAATACTAGGCTATATTTGCGAATTCAGAGCTACCTAAATAATAATCTATATGTAGAGTTGTCAGATAACTTTATATCTAATATTTTAATAGTCCTTTCATTTTGAGAATCATGTAAAATACAAGACCAAAGTCAATTAAAAGAAAAATGATTTCAATCAATTAGATTATTTCATCTAAAATTGTCATGTAAATTATACATCACCATTTTTAGACCTTAATCAGAGGTGAATTAATAATTTCTCTGTAACAAAAGAGTTTGAAATATATAAATCAGAGAACACATGTTCTTGAGGAAAAGGCATGAGATCGAGAGGAAGAGCGAACAATCATCATTGAACAGATGTTAATTCTAACATAGAGGGAGTAAGAAAGAGACTAAAGTTATATATCACAGCAAACATCCTTAAAATATGCGTTGTTCATTTAGTATCTGTCCGGTCAGAAGGTTACTTGAAAAGGATCCTCCTGAATGCCCGGCGGAAGTCCTTATTGAAGATAGTGTAGATGACCGGGTTGAGGGCGGAGTTCATGTAGCCTAGCCAGAAGGCCACCGCGAAGGCGAAGTCCGGGATGGGGCATGCGGCGCCGCAGACCGGGCTCAGGATGTACAAGAAGAAGAAGGGGAGCCAGCAGGCGATGAAAGAGCCCATGATGAGCCCCAGGATGAGGGTCGCTCGCTTCTCCTTCTTCCGCGCCAGCCTCCGCTTCTCCCGTTCTGGGTCCCTCACCTTCGGCCCCTGCCGGAATGCCATTCATCATTATCATTATCATTATCATAGCTCATGCATCTATCAACTATTGGTTAGTTATCAGAAACACTACCTTAGAACACAAGCATGTTCATCTAAATGCAAGGCTAATATAACGGGCTGTGAAACTTGATTGTCATTAATAGGGAAATATCAAAGAGGTATACTTTAGATTACATAGGAAAACGTAGGTATCCACCAGAATTCATAGTAAATATTTATTTTTTTCTCTACCGCGGATTTTTTATCATTTGATCGACATATTAATTTTTCTATTATTTTTACTTTTCTAACTGGATCAATGTATGGGGCACTTTCAAATACCACCTAGTACATCCGTGACATTTCTTTAATTATTTTTTATTTCATTAAATAAACATTTTTTTGTACAACTGACAATCAAAATTGAATAGGAAAGATCAAAATTAATTTGTTATTATTTTTTTTGTTGAGAACTTTATTGTGAATTTTAGTTCTAAAAAGAACTGTATTAGGACCGACACTTTCTGGGGAATGACCCCTCGTTACATGAACACAAGATGTTTAAAATTGTATTCTTAACATGATATTTATTTATTGTATATATATTATTTTTCTGTATAATTTATTTTATTTACTGTACATAGAGTGTGAATGTGATCTGTGAACACTATTATAAATGTCCTTGAGACAGATTGTAATATTTTTCAATAAATAAGCTTAAAAAAAAATATGATAAATAACAAAAAAATCTCTATCTTCGTTCCAGCGTACGGAAACGAAACAGGCTAATCCAGCAATCGGTAATTGGAGAGGGGCAGAAATAACAGTATTCTTGGTGAAATTGTCAAATCTTGAAAGGGTTGAAAAAAAATAAAATATGCAAGTTGAAGGTATAGAATCCATGACATTCAAATCCAACGAACGATTCTATCCGAATAGGACTAATCACGGAAAATGAAGAATAAATCGTCGAAAACTACCAGTGTAGAAGAGCCAGGCCGAGTTATTAATCACGAAAAAAAGTAATAGGCGCTATACCAATAGCCAAACGTACGAGGATTAGATACATATTTAGATTGAAGGATTAAGTTGGGTTTGATCACATAGATTACGACAGGAGCAATAATTTTGGATTATATGGACATTGAAACTCCAAATTCGTATAGCCCTCCTGAAATATACCTACTACTACTAATGATATATGATCAAACAATACATTCAATTAACGAAATGAAGCCTTACCCTTGAGTTATCCTGAGGGATGTCTTGTGATCCGGCACTCGATATCCTGCCCATGTCGATGATGTCCCGCTTGGCCTTGGACGATTTGCGGCCAAAGATGGGTTTGCAGAGGCGCAGCTTGAGCGGCTTGACGACAGCGCACCTCGATACGACTCCCGAATCAGAGGACGATGGGTCGAACTCAGAGACCATGTCGGCGTCGATGCCAACAGAGGGCGCCCTCGCCCTGTTGACGGCGGCCAGGTCCCCGTTGACGGAGAGGGTGCTGCCCTTGAAGGTGACGTTGGGGCTGAGGGAGGTCTGTACCTTGAGGCAGTCCTTCCCCGTGTCCGGTTGGTCCACGTTGTCCGAGGTGCTGATGTCCGAGGCGAAGTCACAGGTGACCACCGGGATCACGGGCTTCTCGATGATCACCGAGGCCACGGGGCTGTTGGGCTCCACCGGGGTCCTCGGCTCCTTCCGCCCGCTGAAGGATGTGACCCTCTCGTCGGGGCGGGGCCTGCTCACTGCCTTCCTGATCCCCCGCCGAGCTCTCGCCTTCGCCGCGTAGTAGATCCTGATGTAGACGAAGACCATGATGCAGCTGGGGATGTAGAAGGAGCCCAGCGCTGAATAGAGGACGTAACCCACGTCCTTGCTCAACTGCAACAGCAAACAAAGCCTTTAATGAATCGGCCCGATACATTGATTATACAATTTACATTATCAAGAAACATAAGTAATAAATAAATAACCCAGTTTTAAATCATTCACACTAAGTTAATATAATCCAAAACAAATTGAAAAAAAGAATTGGTATGAGGACCATACCGCTTTCATTGACCACCATTTGATAACAAATTAGTTTAGTTTAGCATTAGATACATATTATCATAGTGATCTTAATTAAGTCTATGCTAAAAAAGAATCTCCAATAAACATACATAGAATTTACAATTGTCAAATTAACATCAGTATCATTCAATAATTATGAAACGCATCATTAATTTTTATTTATAAGAACAAGTATAAAGTTATTCTTTGTTTATATATTTTAATGATATCGAATTATCATTTAATATGTAATTATCAAAAGTATTGTTAATTTTATCTTACATCATGAAGTTGAAAAATCATGCCTCTCATCAAAATACGATAAGAGGTGGATGAAGGTTCATGGAGGTTTTTATTATATTTTTTAACCCTTTTATCACGCCATTTCTGGCATATGACGAGGTCATTATTACAGGATTAACTTAACAACTCTAACCTGAGTGGGAAGGCTGGTGTTTCCTTATTCAGTAGGTACGTCATGAAATAAATGTATACCCATCTTTAATTTAAATCCATGTTGGATTCGAACCAGCATAACTAACCATTATTTTTGAACTCGGACGAATCAAAGCATCTAACCTATCTCTCCTCCACCCTCCCTAAAAATGAAAAAAATGGTAACGGATTTTCCTTTGCTAATGCCGATACAGATATCAGACTCTCAGCTGACTTCTTTTCACGTTGGCTGTAGATATTTGGTGTTGCAGCAAATCCAGGAGGCTAGGCGTTATAGTCTCGCGGCTTGGCTAGGATTATGGCCTAATGACCCCAGATGAGCGATGCTCCTCGTAACTGCACCGGAAGCCCACCATCAATTTGTACCATCATTAGTGGTACTGTGCTGCGTCGTTCACGGCTTTAAGTTCAGTTGGCTCTTAACATCGTCCGAGGATAGTTCCAAAAAAAAAAAAATGTATGTAATATAAATGGTCCATTAAATAAAGGGTACTTTTATTACTATCTAAACAATTAATAGGAGATAAATATTACAATATGTAATTTTTTTTTCGTAAAGATTGATTAAAATAAAGTGGAACAAAAAGAAACTTTTTTTTTCGTAAGAATTCTATGAAAATTTATATTCAAAAATCGTAAATTCAATTACCTCAAAACTAATGATCCAAAATTTTAAAAATATATGTACAATTTGCAGTCAATGGGTTTTCCAAAAATGAATATAAATATTTTCTTCAAAAGAATTCGTTTATTTCAATTATTGTAATTTAACATCATATTCTTTCATAAAAACCTGGATATTACTATTGACCAAAACCTCTCCTGGAAAATAAAGATCGTCCGTATTTTCTGATGATCAGTAAGTAAGCATAAAGTATTCCACGATTACCATAATCTTATTCCATAGCCTATTTGCAAGCTCCATGAATCCTCAATTATTTTATTCCAGTAAGTCCGAATCTTCTACAACTCAAAACAAGATTCTGTTTTTCTGACTTCTATAGTCCTTTTCCACATCACTAAAACCTCGAAATTTTTCTTTTTTGCCCGCTCCATTGTTTCTGTGGGATTTCCTGCTATCTATTATCCGCCATGCTTGTTACCTGTCCAAATACTTCCGTTTGCAATATATATTCCAACGTAAAAAGATGTTTTGCACTCATGAAATTATAATTTAAGAATACAATTTTTATTAATGAAGAGAAGAATAGTTGGGGTGGTCAGTCAAAAAAGAAGGCAAAAATAAATGATAGTATTTATTTTTACATATGCCGACGTTTCGACCTGAAGTTCAGGCCATCATCAGGGCTAAGAAAAGAACCGGAGAACAAGGTATGAGAAATATAAAAACATGTATATATATTGCCTCTCCAGAATTTCTATCAACTATTTAAATGTATTACAAATTTAGTTATAATTTATAAATTATTTATTTATAATTTATTTATTATAAATTTATTTTATTTTAAACTATTTTATTGCCTCTTTCTATCAACTTTCGTTTTATTCCTTAATATTTATGAATAATATATTTCTTGTTCTTATTTACGCTTCCGATACGTTAGTTCAAACTTCGTCAGATAACCATTGGAGATGACGCCACTATACATCTCTTCTATCCACCTCCATCCTTCAATAACATGAGCATTGCATCTTTACCTTAGAGCAGTCAGGTTGTTATCATTTCTCTTACTTATTCTCTTTCTTATTTCAACCTTCTCAGTTTCTCTCCTCCTTCCTTTCATTCCTTTTCTCTGTTTTAACTCTTTATTATTTCATACTTTGTCTGTACATATTGATAGACTTTACAACATCTCAATTTTCTATCTAAATATTCTATTCACTATATCTTAATTTTACTATTTTTTTCCATTTCTTATATAACTTCATATTTTTCTGTTTTACATTTTATTCTAAGATTCCCTTTACAATACTTATGTCGCCTTTTTTGACTATGTTTACTTCATCATTCCACACTTTGTACCTGTTATTATTATTTGTCTCTTGTTCTTACTATTGTCATTATTCTGACAACTTCATTTTACTGTAATTTTTATATTTCTCATACCTTGTTATCTGGTTCTTTTCTTAGCCCTGATGATGGCCTGAACTTCAGGTCGAAACGTCGGTAGATGTAAAAATAAATACTATAATTTATTTTTGCCTTCTTTTTTGACTGACCACCCCAACTATTCTTCTCTTCATTATCCACGACAGTCAACCATTTACCAATTATGAATTTTTATTAATAGTAAATAATTAATTTTTTTTTTACTTAAGGAATCTATTTATAGTTTTCATTTTGTTTTCCTCTTCTTTTCTTTTATTAGATTTTTTTATCATTTCATACTTGTTTATTGTCAAGATTTTATTTTTTGTGTAAATATTTAATTTAAAATAACGTAAGAGCTGTTTTGATTTTAGTAACGAAGTTTTTGGCCAGATATGGTTTTTATTCATTTGAACATGTTTGTTATTCTTTTTTAATAAATACAAATCCAAGCATTAATATAATTTTAAACATAAAAATTAGTGTTGTATTTGTAGGTTTAGGTCAGTAAATGCAAGGACGAAGGTAGAACTAAGTGATTAATATTTGCCGTCGAGAAGTGAATTTGCCTCGGGGAGCCGGAGTGGGCAGGTGTTGACATTTAATTCAGCGCGGGGTGTTGACTTAGCGGGGGGCCTGCCTCTTCGCCCCCCCCTCGAAATAGTGTTTTTACCCAGATATAATTAACCTAGTAATTATTCTCTGTAGCGAAATCCGATCGGTGTAGCCTAATGGAGTATGGAAATGGAAGGGTTCAATGTTTATGATGATCATAAACAGCTTTAAAATTTTTCACTCCAATAAATCCCACAAAATTACCTTTACCCTTCGTCGTAAACCAACAACTTCCTGTCCTACAGTTTCCTTTAACAATACTCCACTTATCCCTGTTGAGCAAATCCGATACCTAGGACTCCACCTGGACAAACGACTAACTTGGAATCCTCATACTAGACTGAAACGACAAGAAACCGCTCGACATTTCCGATTACTTCAGCATTTACTAGACAAACGCTCTAATCTTCCAATTAATTACAAAAGACTCATATACTTGACTATAATAAGGCCTATTTGGACTTACGGAGTTGAGCTATGGGGCTCCACTAAACCATCGAATTCCTCTCGTATCCAATCCTTATAATCCAAAATCCTTCGTAAAATCCTCAATGCTCCCTACTTTGTTACAAATAAAACCATCCATAATGACCTTAATGTTCCTTTTGTTTCAAATCTGGCCCAATCCAGATACCTATCCTTCCATAATAAAACTTCAGAATCATCCCAACCCTCTCGTTTCTAACCTTGCTTCCTCTTCAATCCCTGATAACCCTCCGAGGCGTCTGAAAAGAAGATGGCCCCCGTGATCTCCTAATGTAAACATATCATTAGAGTGCTACCATTGGGTAGTTACTCAGCAAGTGTTTTTCATGTCATTATATACATTATGTTCTAATTTACTAGATGTATTTATTTAATACAGTTGTAAATGACTTTAAGAAAAAAAAAAATTTTTTTTCACAGAACATTTGTAATCAAACTTGTGATGCTATGGAGAGTAATAAGATTTTTTCTTTTTTTCTGGTGGCTTCACGGATCTATAGATATTTGGCGGCCTGTGCCAGTCTTCTATACTGCTGCCTTCATATCATGAGACATGTTATGATTGAGGTATTTATTGAACAGTTCCTATAAGCATTTCTTTAATGGCCCTATTCCACCATGCGATGGTTCTCTGATCGTGAAGAGGATTTTATTCTCTTTCCATTCTTTATAGGGCGCCAGTTATAGACCTGTCTTGTAACTATATATCAGAGTTGGCTTTGAGTATACTACTAATTTAAGATTTTTAATGAATTTCAGTTCCCTTCAAGTAGAGAAGAATGCTGGATTAGCGCTTATTACCGTTCTGTCTCAGATTGTTGGATCAGTCGAGAAAAACATAACGGATCTTTACGTAAGATTTCAATATGGACCCTCTTTAAAGGAGTTATTTAAAATGCGACTACGTGCTGGATAAGACCTCTCCTTCAGTCATCAAAGTGCCTAAATTTAATCTGAGAGAAGCTGCCTGAGCCACTGAAATTATAACTACTTGTTATTAATTTTTTTTTTAAATTGTTTAATTTTCATACTCTATTTTATCTTTGATATGGGAATGCATACAGTTAATTGTATAAATTATTTTATATTCAATAAAATTTTATTTAAAAAAATTTAAATGCAAGTTACATGATTTTCATATTAAATAAAGAATTGAAATAGGATTATTTGAGGTTTGAAAATCAAGAGTCCCTCGAACTAAACATTCGAGACAATTGTAGTGG